GCAGGCAGCAGGAAGATGGCAGGATGAGGACAGTGTGCAGGACAGTGAGCAGGAGGCAGGAAGATGGCAGGATGAGGACAGTGTGCAGGACAGTCAGCAGGCAGCAGGGAGATGGCAGGATGAGGATGAGTGTGAAGGACCAAGAGGTGAGTTAGAAATTAGGCTGTACTTTAAGATCTACTGTATCATCAAGACAGATATTAGCCTAATAGGGAAATATTTATTTCTGAAGGCTGTTGGAGCTGGGGGGACTGAGAGGGCAGGAATAACACCAGACTGCTGGACCAGACCAGGCTGTTTGTAACTGTATAGTCTTATTACTTTTACTAATATACTTCATCTAGGATAATTCCTGGCAGTTATCAAAACCAAATTCTTTTGGATAGGCATAAGGATAACGAGATTTTCTGTATTGATTCTCATTTTGTCGCATGTCCAGACCATGACCGTGTGTTACATACATGTTAGTAAAGACCCCTAGCGCATCTTGCAGTCTTGACATTGATCCTGGTGGCGACTATTTGTCGCGGTAGCGGACCATAACGGTCATAGAAGGGGACCTGACCTGGAGCGCCAACACTACGGAGCTGATAAAGGCACAGCAGAGACTCCCCTTCCTGAGACTTCTTAGGAAGAGCCACCTTTCCCAGAAGCTGCTGGTAACCTTCTATCGCTGCTCCATTGAAAGCGCACTAACTTACTGCATGTGTGTGTGGTATGACAGCTGCACAGTTGCAGAGAAGGCGGCGCTCCAGAGAGTCGTCACTACAGCTCAGAAAACTACTGGTTGTACTCTCCCCACTGTAGAAGGACTTCATGTATCCCGCTGCTCTGAAAGGCAAAAAAAAATCCTTAAGGACCCAACACATCCAGGACACTGTCTGTTTCAGCTGCTGCCCTCGGGCAGGAGATTTAGAGCAATAAAAACAAGGATAAACCAGTTAAAAAACAGTTTTTATCCTAAGGCAATTATGCTAGTGAATGCTGAAATGAAATGATATTATTTCTGGTGTTATCAAAGAAAGGGGTGTGGGGGCAAAGGAGGGGGGGCCAGAATGAATGTATGAGGATTGTACAGAAGAGGCACTTCAATTTCGTTGTTTTATGACAATGACTATCTATCTATCTATCTATCCATCCATCTATCTCGGCAGGTCCCCCCAATTATGGAGGGGTAATTCACACTGACTGCCACTAGACGTCTAGCCTGTTTTCAGTCCATGGAACAGAAAGCCAAATTTGATCATTATTATAAGTCACCAAGTGTTACAGATTATTGGCTATATCAGTTTTCATAAAAAGAAAATGCCAAATTCAAATCCCAGAAGACCAGCCAATATTTCACCAATAAACTGTTAACATTCCTTAACTTTTACATTTATTTTAAAATCCAAGATTTTAAAGCAATGCATATTGCCCTAGAATGTCAAAAATGGTTAGATGGCAGTAACTGTGATAGGCTCCCAGAAATGGCACAACATCACACATATAACTCATCATTAGCAAAAGAAGAACCATTTTCAGAGATTCTAGAAAGGCTTTGGACAGCTTACCATTGGGTCACCATCTACCCCATACTACAGACCTTCAGCAGCTGCTTGTGGGAATGATCGCACAACACCGCTACACATAGTGGATAGTTGGCAAACAGTATTCTCAGATGTCAGGAAGAAAGCAGTTGTGTGAATTATGCATGTAATTTAACTAGATTAGCAAGGGAAGAAAGATTATAAAAGCTAAGAAATGCCAGTGAATTACAAGGATAAGAAAGCTAATGCGCTAAGCTAATAAGTCTGCAGTTTCACTACGTATTTGTCATAATGGAGGTTAATGAAGGTTTCATAACAGTGTTTCAAATGCCAAGGAGAAAGAAACACGCAGTATTCTGCCTTGTAACCCACCCAGGAGTCTTTTTCATCACTTTGCTTACCTGATCATTTGCTTCATCCGTACTTTGAGGATGCACTGACCAGTGATTGTGACCGGTGAAACTAATCCTTCCCCATAACAGGTCTCTAAAAAGTCACAGGAAGTCTTATGGCCCTAGTGCTTCTGCAGCATATGGTTACCATGGAGATGCTCCTGGTATCTAACAGGTAGTCTCATAACCCAAACCAAGTCCACCTGTACTGCAACCCATTGATTGTACATCTAACCCCTGGAAGACGGTCTTGGTTACTCTACACTACACAGACCTGCACTGGTCAGAATGAACTAAGCTTTTTGCAAAATAGTGTCAGTTCCATTCCATTTGAACTCGTAACTCAGAAATTCTGAGTTCCTATTCAGAAATTTCAAATGTAATGAAACCCTGAAGTCAGAATTTCAACTCACGGACTTGGAGGAATCTCTCCAACCCTGACCTCTGAATTCAGGATGGCACCTGTTATCTACCGAAGTTAAAGCTGTAGTTTAATACTTTTTATTAGCACTTGTGTTTTATGTGTGGCTCATTAAATCGGTAGTACGCACAGTGCTGTTCAACTGCTATCTGTGGATGTGTTGCTATGGTGTTTTTATGTACAAAATACCACATAATCAACTGATATTACTAACAATGGCTAACAATTACTGGGCTAGAACTGGGGCCTGTTTTAGAAAGCAGGATATCTCGTTTAGCTGGATAACTTGTCAGATTTAAGGTAGTCTGAAAGTGAACAAAGATAAAGGCCATTTAACCTGCGGTAAATTAAATCTGACAAGTTATCTAGCTAAACAAGATATCCTGCTTTTTGAAACAGGTCTCTGGTATTGCTTCCAACTTGTTGTACTGGAACACTTAACTTGTGTATGATGTCATCAGTCCCTGTTCTGACCTCTGAGATAAATGGAACGCAGCAATAGATTCAACAAAATACTTGAACCGTTCCTCAGATACTTCGATCCATGCTAACATAATAGCATCACGCAGGTGCTGCGGATTTGTCAGTTGCACCTTCATGACTCTCCCGTTCCAACACATCCTATAGGTGCTCTATTAGGTTAAGATCTGGTGACTGTGGAGGCCATTTGAGTACAGAGAACTCATTGTCACGTTCATGAAACCAGTCTAAGATGATATCAGATTTGTGATATGGAGCATTATCCTGCTGGAAGTAGCCATCAGAAGCTGGGTACACTGTGGTCATAAAAGGATGGACCTAGTAAGCAACAATACTGAGGTAGGCTTTGGCATTTAAATGATGCTCAATCGATACTAAGGGGCCCAAAGTGTCCTAAGAAAATATCCCCCACACCATTACCCCACCAGCAGCAGCCTGAATTGTTGATACAAGGCAGAATGGATCCATGCTGTTTACGTCGAATTCTAACCCTACAATCTGAATGTTGCTGCAGAAATCAATACTAGTCTGACCAGGCAACATCTTCCGTTGTCTAACTTCGGTTACCCTGTGGCCACTGCAGCCTCAGTTTCCTGGTCTTAGCTGACAGGAGAGGCACCCGCTGTGGTCTGCTGCTGCTGTAGCCCATCTGCTGCTGTAGCCCATCTGCTGCTGTAGCCCATCTGCTTCAAGGTTTTTTCTTTCTTGGCCCATTCTCTGTAAACCCTAGAGATGGTTCTGCGTGAAACTCCCAGTAGATCAGCAGTTTCTGAAATGCTCATATCAGCCTGTCTGGCCCCAACAACCATGCCACGTCCAAAGTCAAATAATTCACCTTGGTTCCCCATTCTGGCTTGATGTGAACAGTATCTGAAGCTCCAGATCTGCATCTGCATGATTTCATACATTGTGCTGCTGACACCTCATTGGTTGATATTTGCTTCAACAAGCCATTGAACAGCTGTATCTAATAAAGTGGCATGTGAGTGAATGTGAGTAATGAGTCTCACGGTGACACCAGGCTATGTGATGTTTTGTGTTCCTGTGGTGACAGGACTAGGGTTGTACCTAAAGTTAACTCATGCTATAAAACTCAGCTGGTCTTATTTTGACTGCTTTTCTGATAGGACTTTTATAGGGTTGGCTTAGCTGATTCAAAAACAATCAGAGAAATCAGAAAAAAGCTCCTTCATGTATCCTCGTTTTGTGAATTTGTAGTCACTGTGATTCTGGGATTTCCATTTTTTTTTTCCTTTCACTGTTTTGGGTTTAGTTTTTGTTTTACATTATTTTCAGTTTTCATTTGAAATCCAATTTAGTTTTAGTTAGGTTACAGTGTGGTTTTATTAGTTTTATTTTAAAGATATATTTCTATTTAGTTTTTCATATGTTTTAGTCTCAGTTGAAGTTGTAATTTGATTTCTAGGGACAGACTAAAAGTTTGTGTGTCAGATCGTTAAGGAATCCTACATGACTACAAAGTGCACATTATGTCCTCAAAATGGGCAAAACATGTTTCCCGTATTATTAACCCTGGGAAAAGCTTGCTGTCTTGCATCTCTGCCACCCTGTGGCAGATTTCTGCTCTACAACCTGCCACAGTGAGTTGAGGGTGGCAGGGGGCAAAGACACAAGAGACCCCACTAAACTCTAAAGATATTTTTGTACTTGGGAGTGACGCTTGGGAATGTTGGTTATGCTGCCAAAAAAATTCACGGGATCAACAGAAGAACACAGAGACAAGTCTGTACTGAGTAAACATGATTAAGGAATCTCCAACCTGACTCTGTCCTCACCGCTACTTCAGGGCTAATCACTTACATGATGTACCAAAACAGTAGCATGTGGCAGGCTCCATTCCAAAATCCTAATACCACCGATTTTGGGTATCACAATACACCTCTCATTAATATATTTGGTATATTACTAATCTTATTACCAAAATGTGGCTGTAAGTAAATATCCATATAGTACTGAAAAGCCGGCATCTGGACAGACTTTGCTGGGTGTAGATATGCTGCTATAACAATTATCCAAAGCCCTGCAACTGCCTAACCCAGAAAGTCACACAACCACAAATCACAGCGATCCTGTTTCAAAGACACTGCTCGTTTGAATCGTCATTTTAAAAACTCTAACCAGGAGAGTTATTTATTTGTGTATTAAGATTGAACAATGGATCCCAGCGTCCAGACCAGCCCCTGAGAAGCAGACGATAAGTGGACGATTTGACATGGCCGAAACGGGCCACCACAGCCAGTAGCCGTTACTGTGATGCAGGGGTGCACAATTCGGGGCCTCACTGAAATAGTAACCATACAATGAAAATAAAAAAAGAGAGAGAGAGAGAGAACCCAAACATTCAGCCGCAAAGGCTCAGACCAGCCTTCCAGGAGCAGGAGGAGATGCTTCCTGTTCTTAAGTTAATCTACAAGCAGCACACCTCTCGTTACAGGAATGATGTCAACTTCACAGCAAGCCTCTATAGAAAATTTAAATTATTAATTATCATTCTCATCGTCAATATTCTTACACAGTAGTATGTTAAATAGGACTAAGGGCACAGTAGTTGCACTGGATATGGAGGCTAGCCAGTAAACACAATGTGGCCCAATATTAGCTATATCTGGGGATTAACATAACTGGTATGCAGGTACGCATTCAGAGTATATAGGTTAAACTGTGTAGTAATTTCTTATGCCTGAATTTCTTAATTTGTAATGTCACAACAGTGAAAACGCATATAAATTAAATATGTATAAGTTGCCAAACATTTTATCTTATACCATGAATGCGTACCAGTTGTGTCAATCCCTGGCTATAGCTTTCCAGATTGACACAGACTGACAGGGGGAGCCTTGTGGGACACCCCCCACCCCCACCCCCACCCCCCACCAGAACACACAGGCTGTACTGGCCATTTAGTCCAATAAGAAGTCCGGCCGCTCGTAGCCAAAAAGCAGAAAGTCCCCCTGGAAGCGGGCATAAAGGCGCCGGATGTCGCGCTTGCTAATTCCGGTGAAGTACTGCTCCACCTTGGTGCGGTTGTAGCGGGTGATTCCCGGCGGGATGTCAGGGTACGAGATGCGCTGGTCGATGCCAGCGGCTTGGAGGATGGAAGGGGCGTCATGCTCCAGGGTCTCATGGTGGCCAATTGCGCTGTAGGCGATGTCACAAGGTGCACACAGCTCCACGTAAGTCACCCAGTGGATCACATGGTCGCCAAATTGGCGGTCGAGGCGCCATCGCCCAGGGTCACCAAGGTAACGGACGAAGTCCTCAAAGCGCAGGCCGGGGGCACCAGTGCTGCCACCGTGAACCTTGCGGTATTTGCGGATGATGGCCGGCGCAATGTTATGTTTGTACCACGGCTCGAATCGTGGGTTCTGCAGGAACTTGTCCTTGAAAGCTGAGATGAGTCGCTCAAATGGATCTCGAACAATGAAGAACTTGAAATAGGTGCTTAGTCTGGACAGAGGAGACCAAGTGGACCAAGGTCACTGAAACTAAACCGACAAAAAGCCCCAACCAGCTTCACATATGGAATGTTAGCTGCAGAACCTCAGTTTATACATTGGTTCTTGAGTTTTATGCGTTGATCATAAACCCAAAACATTTCATCACATAATCTGGCTAATGAGCTTTCTTTCCCTGAGCCAGTCTGACAACCCTTGAAGCACAGCAGTAATGGAAAAGGCTAAAATGCAAAGAGAAAATAACTACCTTGTTCATGAAGTCACACCTTTAATTTTGTCATTATTCACCTGGGATTTACCAGATACATTTTGGGAAACAAATATAACCAAAAACTCTGACCTTTCAGTTATTTCTTTTTCAGTCAGAGAGGAGAGGCGAGGCAAGCCATTTTTCTCATGGTCATGGACAATGCTCTCTGGAATCTCTGCCACAGAGGGGAACGCTCCTGTGCATCAGCAAAATGACAAACAAAAAATAAAAAATGACAGAGTGATTAACCAACCAAAGAGTGATGATCCGTGCCCAGACCGACAGTAGGTCACACCAAGACACTGCTCACCATTGAGGACAATGAAGACCTTCTTCCACTGGGTGTTGCCCACCTTAGGCGTCTGGCAGAAGAGGATCTTGTGCTTGTCACAGACAAAGATGCGATCCAGGACAAACTTGCTGAGCGGGGTGTGCGTCAGGTTCCTCATGGAGGAATTCTGGCAGACACTCTGCAGGAGCTCCTGCCGTCTCCGTTCCACTGAGCTCCAGTCTGCATGCTGACCTGAGGGGGGCCCCACCGAGCCCTGAGACACATACAGAATATACTAGGGCTGTAACAGTACACACATACATCATATGCCGTTTGGTTACATCATTTTCGGTTCAGTATGCACAATGAAACGAATGAATACCTTGCTTGACAGAGGCAGAACCTAAATTCACAAGTAGATGTTCAACATGGAAAACATAAAGCTAACAGTGTTTGTGAGAGGGTTAGGGCTAATGCTGGTTACAGTCAGTCATAATCAACAATTTTGTTTCCCAGAAGAATTTCACCAGCACTGGAGAGAGAGCAGTCGATAAGACCAAGACTGTCTGTTGGCTCTGTTATACCGACCTCAGATATGTTGCTGTAAACAAATCCAACATGAGTATGAGTGACCAGAGCAAGGCAGAAACAGGCTCTGCATGTTAGTCTCCTCATAGCATTTCAGGCTCTTTTGCCAGGAATTTCAGGCCAGGCAGAAAAATTTTATAGCAGCAATAGGGGTGTTTATGGCTACAGATATGCAACCATGCTTAGTAGTAAATGAACGTATTTATTTTTATGGTATCACTTTACAATAAGGCTCTCTTTTGCCACTTGTAAATGGTAGTAACTCATTAATAAAAAGAAAACTGTTATAACTTGTTTAAAATTGTCTATTAATAATTTACAAAGTGTTACAACCTAATAAATAACCAGATTATAAACCATCCATAAACCCTTTATATGGTTAGACTTGTTGTAAAGTGGCACTATTTTTACTATGTGCAAATAAGCATCCCTTTACGTTTCATTACTCAGACACATCGAGCGACACATTGCATTATGTTTGGTTTACAACTGTTCCTGGTTGTTTGCAGGTTTAATAATTTCAAAACAAGCTCTCTGCTGCACCAAAACATGAACTGGCTACACCCCTAGTATATACACAGAGTAAACACAGATCTTTCATTTGGTTTCAAACAAATCTTTCACTCACACTTGCAGAATTCAAAGAATGCAAAATAGTCTTTTACAGCAAGACTTCTAAATGAGCTCCAGTAAGACAGTAACCATAAGCAAGTCATTATATACCTTCTAATATTACTATTGTGCATCTAAAATTTCCAGTTGACTAGAAGCCACCTTAAAATTAAGCAAATGACTGTCATGGATCTCAGCCAGACAACAGACTTCAACTCATTTAATCAGAGATGGACAATATATTAGTTAACATATCCGTATTATACGAACAAAAAAAAAAGAAAAATCTACATTTTCGGTAACACATGAAATTTCTGTATCAATGCACCACTACATTAAATGTATTTCACTACACATTTTCACACAAACTTTATTGTCTTTACTATAACTAATTATAATTCACTGAATTAACATGCAGTACTTTATGTTGTCCAAAGAGAACACATATGAAAGGTGGCTGGTCAGCCATTTTTTTGCTTTGTTGTAAAATCGAAACCTCATGCCGACTTGAACCAGTCTATGATCCGTGGCTGTAATCCCACAAACAGCATGCGTCTGGACCCCCCCCCCCCCACGCACAGCGTTACCTCCTTGGAAGGGACAGCTTTCCTCTTCACCGTGCCTTGGGCAGCAGGAGGCCTGATGTTTTTCCAGGAAGGTGCTGTCCAACTCAGGGCCGGCTTGCCCTTATAGTCTGCAAGATGGCCAGAGGAGGATTTTGCTGTGTAATTTTGTTATATTACTCATTCTTCTATTACTGTGTAACACAGAAATCCTAGCTTGTGTAGTAGTAGTTTGTGCAAAGGATTTGTTTTAGGTAGGAGAAGAGTCATGCACACTCGCCTAGCACTCACTTCAGCCCCCCAGACGTAATCAGGTGGTGAGGTGATTACCAGGACGACTGGCACCTAAGACACTGGCACCCAGTTATGATGTCACCCACGCTGGGGTGGGATGCCAGAGCCCCATTAGCTGCTCTGTATCAGAGCTCCAGACGGGCCTTTAAGGCTACTGTGATGGTACCAGGGCACACAGAGTCCCCACCGTACTTCACCCCATCTGGAAATCCCCTACTTTGGATGCTGTCTGGCACCACGAGAAGGTGGAGATGACCTTTAACAGAGCTGAGCTTGTGTGGCCTCCTGATAGAAGATCACCCTTCCCTCATTCCCAACTGAGACCTTAAGGCATGGTGCTATTCAATGCAAATCAGCTAACAAAGACTGAGCAATCAGGCTGGAAAAGCAGGATCGTCAAGGTACTAAGTCGTCATGGTTCCTGTCCTTTTATCTTGTGGCTTCTGTGACCAAACTTGATTTACTGTCTTAGACTCTGTAAAAAGTCTGGTATCACACACGTTTGGAGAGGAAGGTTGAGAAGGCTGTGCGTAATATCTACTGCACCAGAGAACATCTGGAAATAAACTCCTTCCTCCCAAAAAGCGTACCTAGCTCATTGATTTAAGGGCAAAACAACAGAACCTAACAATTGGCCAGCTAGCCAGTAGATTGAGAAGAATTCGATCTGCAAAGAAACATTTTTTTGCAAGCTATCATCATCTAAAATCTGTATTTGAGTTAAACCTTCCGGCTCTCTCCTGAACAAACCTGCTCTAAAGTAAACAGAGTAGTTTAAGGCATATATGTATAAATAAAAATAGAAATGTACAGTTATTTTTGACTAGTACTGTTAACGAAAGTCTTATTAAGCTTAAAAGGTACAGAATACAACAAGGTTACAGCACATACTTTTTGGATTCAATGGCCAAAAAAGCTGTTGAGACGCTGAAGCAGGATGGGATGCTGTGAGGGCATTTCTTTATGGACTAAAACATGTGGAAGTAAAACTAGGCCAAAATTACCTCATGCTTGCAAGTCGCAGGAGAGTGTTGCAGAATATGAGGAACGATTTAGGCAGATTTTACCTGGCTCATTCTGGACTGAATTATTGTACTGATATCCATATGGACACAGGTACAAACTGCCTTCCTCAATTGACTTAAAGCTGAAGTGACTAAAGCCCTTAAAATCCGACATGAAGATTGGGACAGCATTGGGGCTACATTTATATAAACCACACAAGAGAAAGTGTCGGTATTGCCATAAACCTGGACACTGGGTACACGAGCATTAGCAAAAGATCAGAGATTAAAGAAGAGATAATGATGAACTGGACAAAAGATTAACAGCTTAGCCCAGAGAAGAAACAAGCACTTTTTAATACTGTTAAGCCATCGGGAAACTAGAGGTGATACTTCAGAAAGCAAAATTAAACAATGATCACTACACTATGCCTATAGACCACAAGCATCAGGACATACAAATGATGAATCACGATATCAAGGAACGCTTAGCAAAATTACATCAGGAGGGATTCCCTTGGTCAGATGGTCTGCCAGTTGTGTTCTGTAGCATACAAGCAACACATCATATGGAAACTAGACTGAAGCCCTATGAAGAGATCACAGCAAGGCCCATGTCATTGCCGGGAATGATTGATCTGCCCAAAGCCGACGTCCACGTTACATCTTATGGCCTGATCAGATTCTGTGAGCAGCTCAGCCTGGCAGTGCAGAGTGCTGAAAGACAGGTGAAAAATGCATGGCTCCTGACCAACGCTGTACCCCCAGATAACCTGACGACACCCACCGCACAACCAGCTGCTCAATCACATCCACTCCATCACAACAGGACCACTGAAGGAGCCAGCATCTGGACAACAAATTACACTACCGAATCACTCACCTTGCAAACGACATTTATAATAATCATCATGGCCCTTACAATAACATGAATCAGCACTATGAACAACAGTATGGTAGCTGTATTTGGATGATCTATTCTCTTCTTAAAATGTGTAAAATTGTGTGCATCTTCTGTAACACAAGTAGCTCAGAATAACAGAACCACACCAACATAATTCATACAGTCTAGGGCCGCCGCAATTAGTCGAAGCGGAAAATGCGTCGACATCAATATTTTAAATTGACGCATCAGTAGTAGTTAAAAAAAATTATCACAAAAGAAAAAGGTGGTTTTACACTGTGCAAAGTGTGACGGCATATCAGGGTGATACTGCGCCATGCATGAGCACCTGAAGAGAAAACACACAGGCGATATTCTAGACTGGAAAACCACCATGTTGTCTATTCATGTTTTTTAAATTACCATTAGTACAGGGAGCTTTATAATATCTTATGTACTTGTAGCTGCTAAAAACACTCATTATTAAATCCATAAAGTTGTCTGCCTGCTATATTAGAATCTCCATTGAATACGTGTTTGTGAAAATGTTTAGGCTAAAATCTGGGCTTATTCTACACTGATTGATGGTGCCAGTGTGTGTGTTCACACGTTTTGGACTTGTTGGGACCAGTGTTGTTATTGTAAACTAAAACTGAAACGAAAACACACAAAATTAAAGGAAATAATTAGTGAACTGAAATTAAAATGACGACCATATTTACAAAAAAAATGTGTCAGACTTTAATCTGCAAAAGTATCACTATATCACCAACATCTTTTTACCTTGTTTAACCACAGTATCTCCTCTTTTAAAAGATGTTCTTGGCTGCTGATCTGTCTCTTCCTTCATCACGACTTCAGTTCTTATCGCTTGTGTGGCGCGCGCCGCTGCCCAAATTTATTAAGCACGAGGATACGTCAAATTTATACAGATTACTAAGTTTTGGGCATTAAAATACGCATCTCATTAATATTTTTAGGCATACTAATCTGCTTATTGCATTGTGGGTAAATGTACCCACAAAAAGCCCGTGTACATTATCTAAAGCCCTGTAACGGCATACAATTTGTTGTCATCAAAATGAAATTAACTTCAATTAAACGATCAAGTTTATTTTCTGAAGGAAAATGAATCATTTAGATTAATCGACCAATCAGTACAATCGTCGATAGATTAATCAATAGTTTTCAGGGTTCCTTTTAACTCGACCTTTTCTTTTCTTTCATGAACTTTTGAACTTTTAAAATTTCTTTTATTTTATGATCACAAATTATCAAAAGGGGGAATTGCAGGATTTTACTTGTTACCTTGTCACATTACTGGAGTTTCCGGGCAGTGGTGGACTAATGGTTAGGGAAGCGCACTCGTAATCAAAAGATTGCTGGTTTGAATCCCCGACCAGCAAGGTACCGCCCCCAAGCACTGCTCCCCGGGCGCTGAATTAGCTGCCCCCTGCTATGTCACGATGTCAAATAAGGGTTAAATGCAGAGGACACATTTCATTGTAGTGTACTGTGTGCCGTGGTATGTCAACAATGACTAATCACTTCACCTTACATGGTTGTTCTATTACTTTATAACACAGGAATCTCAGCTTGTGTAACCTCCTTTTAGAAAAGCACCCTGTCCTCACTCCCTGTTGAGATAAAAAGGCACAGTGCTATTCAATGCAAATCAGCTAACAAAGACTGAGCAATCAGGCTGCCAAAAGGTAGGATGATTAAGGAACTGAATCATTCATCAGCATCTTCTGGCTCTTGCCTGGCTGTGACCAAACATGGTCTATTGTCTTAGACTGTAAAAGGTCTGGTATCTCACACATCTGGAGAAGAAGGTTGAGAAGGCTGTGCATAACATCTACTGCACCAGAGAACATCATCAGGGAATAAACTCCTTCCTCCCAAAGAGAGCACCTCCAGTCTAGCTCATTGCTTTAAGGGCAAAAACAATGGAATCAGACACTAGGCAGAGAATTCGTTACAGTACATTAAATTAATGCATCATTGTGGAATGCATCAATCCAATACATATTAATGTTCAAAAGGGAAGTACTGGGTTTTTCTTAATGCTGGAGGACAGTCAATCCTGGTCTAGATTGTGTAACATCCAGGGCAAGACATGAGCACTACCTAGTATTGGCCGCATGGCAATGAATTGCTTTCCTTTCCAGCAATAGTAAGTACACCATGAGTCAACTATTTATATCTAATTACAATACAAACAGGCAGCAAAACAAAATGAAATAACCAACTTGGCTGGAAGGTATCACATCACGATTATGGTGCATGCGCAATAATCACCAGGAATTCAGATGACGGGCGAAACAATTCTCCGGACACCGGGTTTTGGGTACAATACAGGCATTTACTTACGCCCACAATATGTTAAGCAGATCAGATGTGTATTGTGACACCCAAAATTTAATCTGTATAGATTCGGCATACTCTTGTTTATTACATTCAGTTAGCGGAGCACGCCACATAGTACTGTGGATTCGATTAGCACTGAAGTGGCGGTGAAGAAATGGGCAGCTCAACAGCCACATCATCTTTTGAAAGAGGAGATATTGTGGATATCGGTGCTACTTTTTGCAGTTTAAAGTGCGACACGTTTATTAAACATAAAGATACGCTGAATTTAGATAGATCACTAACTTTTCGGCGTCACAATACGCCTCTCACTAACGTTTTATGTCTGCTAATAATCTGTTCACCAAATAGTTGCGAAAAGCCGGCGTCCGGACGAATGTTTACACCCGTCATCTGAAGTCCTCGTGATTGTTGCACAAGCGCCATAGAATCGCGATTAAATGGCAATATGATATACTGTACAGTGGTACCTCGGTTCTCGAACTCACTAGAACTCGAATTTCTTGAAAGTCGAACAAACCAGTTTGACCTAGAAATCGATCTGAATATCAGAAGTCGAACCGTGAACGCTGACCTAATATAAATTGTACGTGCCAGGAAATGAGTCATACTACAATGCAATTCTTACTTGAATGCCTTCTTCAGACTGGACGATTAACCAA